ATAAGTAAAACTCAAACCAGAAATTTTATTTGTCTTACCACTAATGCATTCCTTGCTTGGTTTTCTTCCTTTCAGTTTGTGCTACACACAACTAGAAACGATCTTCAAGTCATTGCCAAGGAGTTGGCATTGACTCCTCTCTCTCCCAAGCTTCCCACATTAGACTGATGAGCAGTCTTTGTGAACTTCACCTCCAGACATACCTGGAACCTATGTTCTTTCCATCCACATACCTACCACTGTTCCAAGCTGCCAGTAGCTCCTTCTTGCACTATCACAGCATCCTTCTTTTCGACCCTCATCATTCGTTTCTTGTTCTCTCCATCACATCCATCAGCTAAAGCAAGCTTTTTAAACATAGCCACAATATTACACTCTTCCTTTTAAGCTTGTACCCATTCTCATCACACTTAACATTAGACAAGCATAATACCAAGTTCACTAGGAAGCAGTGTAAATGGGACTCTGCTATCTTTCCAATGCTATTAGGTACTTCTCTTTTATTGCCCACTCCAGTTTAATTGGCCTTTTATTTTGTTCCTCTTATGTGCTAGGGTCTTTCCATTTTACTGGTTGTTACCTTTTCCCATAATAGTGTATGTCTGACTCTTTGTCACCTAGGTCTTAGGACGCCCTACTTGACTACTGGGCCTACAGAAGTCCTCCCTACCCCTTACTCCAGTCCCTACTGATAACATCATTTTGAATTAGATTTTCTACAACTGGACAGAACTTTTACATTGCAATTATTTGCTTACTCTGTTTAATACTAAAATGCAAGGTCCTCAGATACAGAAACTTTGTCTTGCTTAAATGTCTGTCAGCAGAATTTGATGTGTGCTGGTATCTTCTAGGTGAACAGCAAACAATTATTGAATGAACAAATGAATAAATGAATGTGAAATATCATAGATTATGCTTTCTGTGCCTAACTCAGCTCCTGAAAATGCAAAACAGTTTTTCTGTCAATTTATTGGTGTTGCTCTGTGTGTTTACATGTGCCTGTGTATGAAAATGTTGGATAATATAATCATCATCGTTATATATTTCTTTAACTGGAAAATTGATGGGATTCTTGAGTCACACGTATTTCTTTCCTTGCAATATAATCAATCCATCAACTGCTAACTGTCAATGGCAGACAGCTGACTGCCTTCAGGTTTGATAGTGTTTTAGGAATTCAGAACTAAAAAACGACAAAGATAAGGACAAAGCAAGCTCCTCTGGTCCTCGCTTTATCATCTTGTTTAAAGCTGTCTCCATTTTGACCTACAGACTTCCAATAACAAATAAAAGCTCTGCCGCTATGCATTTTCTTTACTGAGGTGCAAGGACTCTGCATGGTTAGGGAAATGCAGATGAGACGTAAAATATATCCAGTACATCTTATCAGTCGTGTTTCATTAAAAAAAAAAAAGCATGTAGTGTGGAGTAAGTGTGTTAATTTCCCCAGGACTCAAGTTCAGCATCTCTATTCTGCATCATATTGTGTTATGCAAATGAAGATGAAAACTACAGAGGAAAAAACATCTGGATTCAAGATATAAATAAAATCAACCTGTCATATACTGGAATACCATGATACTTTACAATTTTAGTGATCATTTCCTTTGGCTTTTCATAAACATGTTCCAAACCACACCTTCTTTATCCAGCTTTTCCCATTTTTAGGCTTTACCCCATTTACTCTTTTCTGTACAGATTATCTATTGATTCTACTTACTGGCAAAAACAGCTTTAGTGCATCTCTAACATGAATGGCCCCACAAGCAGGTTTCTCAGCAACGCACTGGAACTAGTGGCTGTCCTTTCCTCCCTGACGCCTACTGAGATTCCCCACCCTAGTCATGAAACTGTCAGTATTAGGGATCAATATTCCCTTTACCTATCAGCCTGAGAGGTTGCTGTTGGTGCTTGGGACTTTCTTCCTAGTGTGATCTTAACCACTATTCACATCCTCACCACATCAATAGAAATAGGACAGAAATCTAGGCGCATCAATTTGAGAGGTTGCCAAGTCCTAGGACTATACAAGCTCCGACTTAATAATAGGGAAAGTAGTTTTTAATTCTCACAATGCCCATGGCTCATATAAATAGCATCAGATATTACATAATAATAGGATGCTACATCTACAAATCTATTCAGGGATAGAGCAGACGGGAGGAAAAAAAAAAGAAATAGGGAACAAAAAATAACAGTTTTACTCACAGAGTCTCATGATAGCCACAATGTCAAAATATTTTTCAATTCAAAGGAACAGATGGGAATAATAGAAATACTTTCCTCTTTCCCTAACACAAAAGAGAGATTTAGATTTGAGTGAACACACTTTGGATTTTCTAAAACAGAGGGATCAGTATCAAGCTCAAGGGCTATTGATAGTATTATGGACACAGATTGCTTTGATCAGGCAAGACAGAAAACCGCTCCATTTCTATCGCCTTCGCCTTATTTTACACAAATACCACAAAACAGAAAATGTCAAAAGCTAGCATAGCAACACCACTGATGCCCTTCAAGGGAACTGTCAGGGATGACATTAAATTTCTGTGCAACCAAAGTTCTGAATAATCATTTGAAGCTACCCATGTGAATTACATATACGGTGCAAATTCAAAAGTCAGCCTCATTCCAATCTTTGGAATTCTAACCCTGCTGATTGAAACTCACAAGAAGACATGGGCTGCTGTTAGGAGAACTGCATTCTCACTTTCAAAAATATTTTGTATGTTGATGAAGATAAATCTATCTGGGAGAGATTGTTACATAACTTGAAAGACTTTCAGTAGGTCTGGCATTGTGTCATAGCAGCAAGTTAAGCCTCCGCTTGCAGTGCTGGTATCCCATATGAGTGCCAGTATAAGTCCTCTCTGCTCCACTTCTGACGCAGCTCCTTGCTATCATGCCTGGAACAGCAGCTGAACATGGTCCAAGTATCTGGGCCCTGAACCCGTGTGGGAGAGCTAGAGGAAGTTTCTGGCTCCTGGCTTCCATCTGGCTGTTGTAGTCATTTGGAGAGAGGACTAGCAGATGGAAAATCTCTCTTCCTCTCCTTCTCTGTATCTGTGCAACTGCCTTTCAAGTAAAGAATCTTTAAAAAAAAAACACATACTTTCAAATTTATTGAAAATTTCGAGTCTAAAAATTCATGGAATTTTTGCTTTTTATTCTGATAAGAAAAGCCATTTTAAGAATTTAAAAATGAGGTCATCTCATAGCTTTTAAGTGAACTTTTCAACCAATTATAACAAAATAAAGCCCCTTTGCTATCTCTTTTATGTGTTAATAATTCCTGTCGACTAGATATATTTTATATTTAAAAAAGCTATAGACTTTTCTAGGAATAACAAAAAAATATATAGGTTGTCACAAAAATTTATCCTATTCAGACATTGGAGATAGCACTTACTTCTGTAAATAAGAACCAGGATGAAAATAATCAGTGCTGGTATACAAAACCTGTCTTTCACAGTTATATTCCTTCCTTCCTTTCTTTTTTAATTGGGAAGTCAGATATACAGAGAGGAAGAGTGACACAGAAAAGATCTTCCATCCATGCATTCACTCCCTAAATGGCCACAACGGCTACAGCTGTGCTGATCAGAAGCCAGAAGTCCAGAGCCCCTCAGATTCTCCCACATGCATGCAGGGTCCCAAGGCTTTGGGCCGTTCTTGACTGCTTTCCCAGGCTACAAGCAGGGAGCTGGACGGGAGGCGGGCTGCTGGGATTAGAACTGGCTCCCATATGATCCTGGCACATGCAAGACTATTGCCCAGGGCCCTTGACTTTTAGGCAATAGTGTCAGAACATATATTTAAATGGTCTCAATTGCAGCTCTAAAGGAGGAGTATGCTGGAATGAGGGCTAGAGGTGAGCTGCACAAGTCTTCTTAGGTTATCAATAGATCCAGACAATATAAGCAGAATGAGGCTAGACATCCCAGGGGGGCATAAAGATTGTGAACATGGCAAAGTAGGATACTGACTTGCTTCCAGATGTTGCTTCTAACCATAAACAAAGAAAAATCCTATTGAAGCAGCTTCACATGTGACTTATTACTCCTTTGTTGATCATGAGAAATAAAATCCAAAATTATGAATAAGGAAGCTAGTCACCTTTAAATTTTAATGTCTTGACATTTCAAATTCAGTAGAGAATTTAACAACTCCATTGCTATATGAAAGGGAAATACATATATTACATACATACATGAACAGATTTTTGAAATCTTTCCATTTTGATCTAATTCTGAAGGTAGTTGAGAGGTTTTAAATCCTTATCAAATCATGTGCCCCAGTGGTGTAAGCCTGTCATCTATGTTTACTCTGCCTAGTCTGTGTTGAAAGAAAAGTATAGAAGAAGAAACAATACAGTATCAGAATATAAAGACTATATAAGGTTAGACCTTAGGGATGCTCATACACATTTTTAATTATGTCCATGAAGTTTTCAAATGGAATCAATCAAGAATATCAATTGCTACTCAGAGGTACACCGTTTAATATTATTAAGGAGGAAACCAGATAAGATATTGCACAAAAATCCAATGTTGCATGCATCCTTAAAACTATGAGCTAATTTGAATTTGAGACATGTAACATGTTAGCCTGTGAGAGCCAACAATTAAAGCAGATTACTGATAAGTTTTTATAAATCAATAGGAGACTTTTACTATAAAACCAGGAAACTGTCAACAGTAGGCCATAAGCAAACAGCTCTGTTGCAGTACTTTTTTGCTTCCACGTGTACAAGAGGAAGCATCAAGCACCTCAAATGCCAAGAATGAGGGAGTGATGTCAGGGTGCAAACATCCATAATTTTATCAATTAGCTACTACACTAAGGAAGCATGGTCATCTCACACAAAAGTGGCAATATATTCTTGAGTAATTGACAAAGACACTGTAACACATTAGATGCGGTAAATAGGCTTCCCCTTACTTTTATAGGGGACTCTCACTTTCAAGACTCAAGACATCATGGACATGTCTGCTTACCACAGGTCTGTGCACATCCCAGAACGCTCTCTCTTGACTGTCCAGGATCTTCCTTTCGATTTTGTCTCTCTTCTTGTCCACTCTGTCAACATCATAACAAGGAGCGATAAGTAGTATTAATTGTAAGGCCTCTCTGGACAAAGCCCTGTGACTGGAACAAAAGACTCACAAGGACTCACTTTGCCTGTGCTTCTGCTTGCATGAAAATGAACTCCCACTTCCGGGCAAATGCTCTCTGCAGCCTGGCCAGGCTCTCCTGGAAAACATCCCACAGGTGAATACATTCAAATGCTCCCCTCCACCACTCTCCTCCTTATTTGCCATACTGATTTGTCAAGAAAACAAATATGGAACTTCTAGAGCACTGAGTATACTTCAGTTCTGAACAGTAACTGATGTTCATTACCGGATTCAGTGAGTCCTCATAGTTAGCAGTCTCAGATAAAGCAGAAAAAACTATTACAAACATTAATTTTGTGAATAACCCTCTTTGGGAACACAACGGAAAATGTAACATGTGTCTGTGTAATACTATAATTATCTAGTATAAAACAGTGCTCGTCTAATCCACAGAATTTTTCTGTGGCTACATTATAGAAGAACAGCGAAGTTTTACATTCCTTTCCCTGATTCAGTCTATATATTAACTAAAGAAAAAAACACAAAGAGCCTATACAATGCTTTGAATTTCAAAAATCACAGTAAAGCAATCATCTAAACAAACGACTTTGCTGTGGAGATGCACCTACATATTCCAGCATAACCTTTGTCAAAATCATACATCCAGCATAACCTTTCGTTCTCAGGATTTGCCTTCATTATAATAGATATATTTGGTCTTCATAGTATGACAGTTTTAGAAAGCAAGACATGCTTCCTCTTCCACACTGGGTTTGTGCATTTATGATTTAACTGGCCTCACTATAAGCTAAAATAAGAAATTTATTAAGCCATTATGCTATCTGATTTCTGGAAATGTCATCTTTAAAATCCATGAATGTAGAACGTTAGCAGAGACTAAGAAATGAACACCGGTCTTACTCCTGTTCAGTTTGCAACTTTGTCAGCCAGTCCTCAGTACTTACAGCTTCATAGTCTGCAAGCTCTAGTCTTGCCTTATTTTGCATTGTTCTCTTGCAGAGGTAAACCGCTGAAAGTAAAAACAAAATTTTGTCTCACTTATTAACACTGAAACACTATAAATAAAAATTCAGCATAAAAATAAAGAGATATTTCTCACTTTTCCTCCAACCTGTGATTTTCTTTGCATTTTTACATTTTTTCAGATAAAGGAATAATCTAACATTGTTACTGAAATTAGACCATGTTTCATGCCATGAAAAAATATACATGTAAAATAAACATGGCAATTACTTACTTTTATTAATTGGTTGTCACAATTTTATCTTCCTTAAAAACAATTAAAAAGTCCCTTTCAAAGAAACATCAAATAAACTTAAACATCAGACATCTAAATAAAACAACTTTTCATAAAGGAATTGTGCAGAGGTAGAATCATTATTGCCATGTTGGATTACTTCCAGATTCTACTGTTCACGGAAAGGATATGCTAATGCAATCTGAATGCTTGTCCTTGCATTCTTTGCTTTGATATACCAGGATGGACCACAGAGCAAATACCATGTCCTTTAAGGCCAGCTCAAAGGGGATGCCTCATGAAACACCTTTGCACTAAGCAGTACCATCTTTATTTTTAGATGAAGAAGTTTAGGTAATATCAGTGAAGAAAAATGTTACACCGAAATTATGAGACCACTGCACAAAAATGTTATTTACTCAACTCAATTTTCTTGTATGATGGCAAAGGGGTGACCAACCATAGAACGATGATTACTAACAAACTAAGAACCAAAATTATAGTTTCAGAACATCTTTCCACCATCCACTGTGGAATTTTATTTTCATTCTAATATTAGCATTTTCCTAAGTTGATATTGTAATGGGTAATAATTTATACCCACTCCTAAAGAAAGTCTTACACTAGAGGCCACTGTGACTTTTTAACAAAATATCTAAAACCTCCTTATTAGCTACTAAAGGATTTAATACTATACACACAATTCCCCTGAGGGCATCCCTTCTGAATTAAGGCTTGAACCTTCTTAAATATCTAGTTAAATAATTCCATCTTCATTGTAGAATTGCCTTTAATAAAATGTCAAGCCCCAGCTAAGCCCTCTTCTGTGTTTCCTGCACCCATATCTTACTCTCCTAGTTCTCAGCATCTAGTGCTTTTTGTTTAAAGAATTAGCCTTCTTTTGTGAACATATTTCTAATTTTATTAGGCAAATTGATAACACAGGAACCATGATGATTCTTTCCCCATTGAGTGATCAGAGAGAAGTTATGCATCCTTTTATGCAAGTGTCCTGTAATGCAATTTTAATTTGCCAAGGAAGAAAGCAAAAGGTGAGAAGAGACAGTTCCAGGCATAGAGGAATAGTCGTATATATGGTTCCTAAACGAACTGATATATAAGTCAACAGGCCACTTTCAGAAGGAGCTAGTCAGAAGCCAAACAAACAAGTGAAATCTTCTAAAATATTTTCATGGCTAGAAAATCTCAAATCTCATGAATGTGTTTATAAGTATAATTGTCTTATCACTCATTTTAAACTGAAGCAATTTGTATTATTTGTCTTTCTTGCAGACAGATATATTTGGTTTTTATTTATGGCCTATTCTAAGTATAATTGCTAATTTTAATTATATCACTTATTTGAAAGGTAGGGAAAATAGAGGAACAGAAAGAGAAAAAGAGAGAGCGCCCTTCTGTTGGTTCACTTCCCAAGTGTCAGAGCCAAGAACTCAATCCAAGTCTCTTACTTGGGTGACAGAGACCCAAGAACGTGGAGTCATTACTTATTGCCACACACAGTATGTAGTACAGAAAGCTGGAGTCAAGGACCAGTTACAGGGTGGCACCCAAGAACTCTGACAGAATACAAGCATCTTTTTAAAAAAGGTTTTATTTTCTTTTTATTTGCAATGCACAGTTAGAGATGAAAGACAGAGAATCTTCCACCTCTGCTTCACTCCCCAAGTGGCGGCAAAGGCTGGAGCTGAGTAGATCTGAAGCTAGAAACCAGGAGATTTTGTGTCTTCCAGGAAGGTGCAGGGTCCCAAGGTTTTGGGCCATCCTCCACTACCTTCCCAGGCCACAGGCAGAGAGCTGGATCACAGTGAAGCACCCAGGACACAAACTGATGCCCATATGGAATACCTGTGCTACAGATAAAGGTTTAGCCTACTATGCCATGGCACCAACCCAGGACACATGATAACATTGGGTCTCATATCAACTCCCCAAGTAAGAAGTTGTTACCGTTATGTAATTGATGGTAACAATGAAACACAGGGACCAATTTTTCTCCCAGGACTTTATAAACAGGAAGACAAGTCAGAAATTACGAGACTATATTTGGAATAAATTTCATACAATCCTGAAGAACTGTTATTGCATTATATGGCAATTTAGTGTGCACATCACTTTCATATGATACCACCATTGAGCCCTGGCAGTGACAGTTTGTATTAAAGACATGTAATTACTTTATTACTTTTCGGATGTTAAATACAAAGCTCAGAATAGAAAACAGCTTTGTCAAAGTTCTCAAAGCTAAAATGAGTCCAAGCCAGGACTCAATCAGGGATTTTGGACGAGAAGTTCCTAGGGACTCAGGGACCCTGATAGGAGGGAGAATCTCCCCAACTCAGCAAATTATTGCCACTCATGTGAAAGTCTGGGCTTTTCTTTCCTCACAATGCTCTTTCACTTAGTGTTCTCATAAGTTAATTAAATCAAATTATATATAATGCATCATATAATTATATGCTAATCATTTCCTTTGCATAACATGTTTCTTTCATACACTTTGCTTTTATTCTCTTTCTAGGTTCATAATAATTATGCATCCTTTAGGAAAATGAAATTAATGCCAAGTATTGTAAGTTACCTTTATCTGATAATTTTGATAGATTTTTGATTTACCACAATTACAATTATGTCTGTTATGTCCCTTTTAGAGTTTCTAGGACCAGCTATTTTTGTATGCCCTCTTCACTATAATTTCCAGCTTCTGAAGTGATCAATATTATTCTCCAAAGCCAACAGCCCCATAATGCTCCTCAATCAAATTCAGAAACGTTAATCTAAAATGTTGCCATTTACAACAGTCCATTGTTTTGTCATTCTTAATTTCAGTGGACAGTTGATGTTTTTAGAGCCAAATCTATGTCGTTGGACCACATGATAAATTCCAGAAATCAAAACCATTCATTCATTTATTCATTCAATGTATCTCCCAACATCTACCTACATACCAGGTACTGTCTTAGACACAGAGTGCACAAAGGTAAAAAAAAGACTCAGTCCTCTGACTCTATAAGTGATGCACAGTCCAATGATATAAACCATTTTTTGACTCACACCTCATGGCCACCTTCTACTCTGACAAACACAGGTGAAGGACAAGCTTTACAAAACTCAGGATGTGTCTGCTGAGTCTTACAGGAACAGCAATTTAGCGTAGCCACGAAACGTCCTCATTACTGAGGTTTTCTTGTATTCTTACCATGACTAAAACCCATCATGATGAGCTGTTACATTAAAGAAATCTTTTTTTTTTAAGATTTATTTTTGTTATTATTTTTTTATTGGAAAGGCGGATATACAGAGAGGAGAGGAAGATCTTCCGTCCGATGATTCACTCCCCAAGTGAGTGCAACGGCCGATGCTATGTCAATCCGAAGCCAGGAGCCTTTTCCGGGTCTCCCACGCAGGTGCAGGGTCCCAAAGCTTTGGGCCATCCTTGACTGCTTTCCCGGGCCACAGGCAGGGAGCTGGATGGGAAGTGGGGCTGCCGGGATAGAACCTGCGCCCATATGGGATCCCGGGCATGCAATACGAGGACCTTAACCACAGCGCCACCGCACCGGGCCCAATAAAGAAATCTTTCAGGGGAAAAAATAGTATCAATTTTCAGAAAAACAGCGGTTGGATTTTTATCTGCAAGATTTCAGCAGAAATTGATCTGATTTCTCCTTCCTCATTTATTTGCCTTAGGTTAAACCAGGTATATTGCTCTCCTAATAGTATTTAAATATAATTATCTGGAAAGTACTTAGGGATATAAATTAATATCTAATAAACTTCAATCTAAAATGTGTTATGGGGAGAGTGTTGGGAAGAACGGTTTGCATGCTACTTTTCTTCAATCAGCTCCCTGCTAATGTGCACTACTCTAGGGAGCAGCGGGTCACGGTTCAAGTACTTGGTTCCCTGCTACCTGGGTGAGAAACCTAGACTGATTTCCAGACTCTTAAGAACCCTTGTTTTGTGGGTGGGTCCAGCCGGGGGTTGTGGGTTCTAGAACAGTGAACCAGCAAATGGAAGATCTCTCTGTCTCTTTTCTCTCCCTCTATCGACCTATAAAATAAAAATAAATATTTTAAATGTATTATGTACATCTTTATTTCAAAGCTGTACCTATAGGCAAGAAGTCACTGAATGTTTTGCACACATGCACCTTTCCTAAAAAAATTTTAAAAATCACACAGATATATCTTAAATAATTTCAGTATAAATTTTAAAAACTGCAAATCACCTAATTCTGGAATTCTTTAAAAATACAAGCAATTTAAAAAATGTCCTTCATCCTCAGATTATGATGGTTTGATTTAAGAGTTTTCAACTTTGCAATGGTGCAAAAGTGGCGTGCATTCAGTAGAAACCATAATCCGGGGTCTTGATTCTGGTTTTGGATCTTTTCTGGGGTTGTGGATGTGCAGCATTCCTCTTGTGCAACACAGGGGAACAGCGGCAGCCTAATGTGTCACTCCGCTCTGAGACCATGAGAGGAAATAGTCCATGCTCTATGGTGAGTGCGATGCTAACCTGTGATACTTGATAGGTTGGGTATAATAAATGCATTTTCAATTTACATTTTCAGCTATGATGGGTTTATGATGATGCAACCCCATTCTCAAGCCACAGAGCCTCTGTAAGATCATTTTACCACTCTCTTACTTATACCCAGTGGACTCCATCTATCAAAGAAGGTATAGAAAAAAGCTCTTCTGCAGAAGTGACTATTTCTCTTTTCTTCTTGGGCTCACATGTCAGTTCTC